ACGTGGGAGGGTTCTGCTCGCTCGCCCGGGGCGGGGGCGTGAATGAGGTGGGTGGGGAGAGCATGGCCCTCTTCAGGCATCTGGCCCTCAGCCCACAGCCTGCCCTGCGCGACAGGAGGTGGGGCAGCCGCCCATGCTCCTGGGCTACAAAGCGGGATGCTGAACACAGGGGGCCATGGGGTCGTGGGGCTGCAGGATGGGGGGACAGATTGTGAGAGGTTGTGGGGCTGCAGAAGGAGGGTATAGGATTACATGGGTTGTGGGGCTGCAGAAGGGGGTATAGGATTACATGGGCTGTGGGGCTGCAGAAGGGGGTATAGGATTACATGGGTTGTGGGGCTGCAGAAGGGGGTATAGGATTACATGGGCTGTGGGGCTGCAGAAGGGGGTATAGGATTACATGGGTTGTGGGGCTGCAGAAGGGGGTATAGGATTACATGGGCTGTGGGGCTGCAGAAGGGGGTATAGGATTACATGGGTTGTGGGGCTGCAGAAGGGGGTATAGGATTACATGGGCTGTGGGGCTGCAGAAGGGGGTATAGGATTACATGGGTTGTGGGGCTGCAGAAGGGGGTATAGGATTACATGGGCTGTGGGGCTGCAGAAGGGGGTATAGGATTACATGGGTTGTGGGGCTGCAGAAGGGGGTATAGGATTACATGGGCTGTGGGGCTGCAGAAGGGGGTATAGGATTACATGGGTTGTGGGGCTGCAGAAGGGGGTATAGGATTACATGGGCTGTGGGGCTGCAGAAGGGGGTATAGGATTACATGGGTTGTGGGGCTGCAGAAGGGGGTATAGGATTACATGGGCTGTGGGGCTGCAGAAGGGGGTATAGGATTACATGGGTTGTGGGGCTGCAGAAGGGGGTATAGGATTACATGGGCTGTGGGGCTGCAGAAGGGGGTCTCAGCTCCCTGTTCCCCGCAGGGAGGCGCGCTCAGCGGGGCTGACCCATGGCTCTGTGCTCTCCCTCCCGCCCCACGCAGTACGGGACCATGGGCGCCATGGCTGTGACGCTGGCTCAGACCCTGGGGCAGAACATGGGCATGATGTGGAACAAGCACCGGAGCGCGGCAGGTGAGCGCGGGCAGGGAGGGCGGCTGCACGGCCGTTCTGCGGGCAAGGACATGGGCTGCAGCTGCTCCAGCACGGCCCGGGCGCT